CAGAGATTCATGCAACCTGGCCTTGAACACTTCCAGGGATGGGGCATCCACAGCTTCTCTGAGCAGCCTGTTCCAGTGCCTCACCACGCTCACAGTAAAGATTTTTTCCTAATATCCAGTGTAAGCCTACTCTCTTTCAGTTTGAAGCTGTTCCCCCTTGTCCTGTCACTACATGCTTTTGTAAATAGATAAAAAAACATAAACATGTATGTATGTGTTCATATGTATATATAGTATGAGTGTATATTCATCGTAGTAGCCCAGACTACTCCCATGAGGGTCTGGTTCCCTCCATGACTGCTGTGTTGGCAGGTTGGGGAGCTGCAAGCCTGTTGTCACAGCTGGTATTGGGTGTCTTGGGAAAGGGGGCATGGCACACAGACAGCCCAGCAATCAAGCAGAACCCAAGGCTCAACCCCAGGCTCTTCCTGAAGAGAAAACATCCATCACCTCTTAACCCACCATGTTTGCCCAAGGAATTGGGTTTTTTGTCTATCTTGTATGTCTAAAATGTCCCTGAATAAAAGCCTCGATGAAACTCATCCCTAGAAGTGTCTAGAAGCCAGCAGAGACTAAAAAACAGAGTCCAGTTTGTGACAGCCTGTTTGAAAACAAGCCCATTGTCCCTGAGCTAAAGGGACTGGAAACTGGAGTGCACCCAGCTCCCATACACCGTCCTCCATACAACCCATAGCTCCCACCAGGCAGAGGCCAGCACAGCACAGCACTTGACTCTTGCCACGGTCTTCACCTCGGTGGAACACCTGCATTTGTATCTTTACCCTCAATTGTGTCTTTTTTTGTTTTTTCCTTCTAGACCCCTTTTCACTCTGGTAGTTGCCTCTGATTAATTGCCAGATCAATTAACGGATGTCTCTGATCGATCCTTGTTGGTCTCTGCAGGTGAGGCAGCAGCAGGCTGTCCCCCTTCTCCCCAGCAGCAACGCTTTCAGACCAGCTGTGTTTTCTTTTACTTTAAAACATTTTGCTACAAAGAAATTCTGTGAAAGGAATTTTTCTTCAAATCCCAATAAAGCCCACTAAAATCCAGGAGATGCCCTGAGGTGCTGCGGAACAATGTGATCGTGAGAAGGTCTCTCAGAACAGCATGTTCCCAGAGAATGTTTTTGGGCACACCATGGTTAGAACAAAAGACGTCCTTAACGTTTATTAAGTACTTTGCTGTTCTCATCAAATTTAGCTGTTCTGTGGTTAATCCCACCCCAGATGTGCTCTCTGATCAGGGGTGCTGCCTCTGAAGCGTTGGCACTGCCACTGTGAACCTTGAAATTCCTCAAACCAAGCAAAGCGACCTGTAGAGGTCAGGGAATCATGGAATGTCCTGAGCTGGAAGGGACCCACAAGGATCATCGAGTCCAGCTCCTGGCCCTGCACAGGACAGTCCCAAAATCCCACCATGTGCCTGAGAGCATTGTCCAAACGTTTCTTAAACTGTGGCAGCCTTGGGGCCGTGACCACTGCCCTGGGGAGCCTGTTAAGTGCCCAACTACCCTCTGGGGGAAGAAACTTTCCCTAACATCCAACCTAACCCCCCTGACACAGCTCCATGGCGTTCCCTTTGCGAGAGGCAGTGGCTGACTCAGCTCATGAGAACACTGCATGGGTTTCCTCTCCAGGCTTCCTGTTCTGCCTGGCTGCAGCAGACTCCAGGGTTGCTGTCAGGGGTTTGTACAGCATTGTCGTTTTTAAACATAGCATTGTAGAGTTTTTTTCACTGAGACTTATTTAAAATGAGTTTCTTAAAACACATCTCTGCAGTCATTTGTGTAGGCTTTTTGTGACAGTGCTCTCCCCCCACAGCAGTCAGGCTGCCTTCAAATCAGAACCACTTGAAGTTATTTTCTCCAGCTTTTTTTTTTTAATCACCAGACTCCCAAAGCTAATCTTACCAAGCATGTAGAGAAAGGTGTTATGAAAACACACCAAGCTGCACTTCTTCCTTGTTCTGTAAGAGCAGCTCCCTGCATTCCAGCAACACTCACCCTTTAGCCGACCAGACCCCTGTGTTTAAGGAACCAGAGCCCCGCTGAAGGGCTGCTCAGTTTGTAACTGCTGCGTGAATTTGGATGCCCCAAGAGGCCAGAAATCCCACAGGATGGCAAACTGGTGGTTGCAGTTGTTTGGTGATCAGTTACTGGAACCAGGACAGGCGTGGGCAGAGCCTGGTGACACCCCTGCAGGAACGCGACAGTAACTTAGCGATGGCACAGCACCAGCCCTCACCCACATGGGATTAGCTCAGCAGTGTTCAGAAGCTTCCGCCAGACCAGCACAGATCTCTGTGATCCAAACTCGCTCCTTACAGGCCACACAGCCCTAAAAGCATCTTCCACTGCTTCTTAAAATAACACTTGGTGTTACTTGAGTTCAATCCCACTATCGGTGTTAAGATCCCTTTGGGTCTCCCTGAAGTCAGTGATCAGCTCAGGTCACTACTCAGCTCCCATCACCATCCCCTTCCAAAGGCAACCACTCTTTAAAAAAGGGCACTTGTTTCCTTCAGCCTCTCCCCTTCCCACATCCCATGGCCAGCACAGCTGTGGTTAACAACTCGTCAGCTCCTAAATGCAACCTCCCCACAAACCCTTCAGTGGAAACTTCCCTTCAGCCAGGGCTTTACAGCACACGGGAACTGCTCTGGTATTTTAGCACAATATTTCCAGCTGGGGCACTGCTGGAATGAAGTTCATTCCAGATTTCCAGTGTCTGTGAAATTAGTTTAATTAGTTTGCTTAATGTACTCAGGCTGCCACACCACTTCCCAAGCCCAAGGGCTGCAGGACCAGCAGTGACATCTCAGTCCCACCCTGTGTTGGAGCTTCAGGATCACCCTTCTGCTTGCTCCATTAATCCCAAAACAAGGGCAGAACCTGGCCGTTGCTGGGAAACCGAGAGCTGGGTTTCAAATCCTCCCAGCTCAGCAACAACTACAGTTTCCCATTACATGTCCACCCTTACACAACACCCACAGCTGCGCAACATCTGCAGGTGGGCACCGAGCTGCAGCTGGTAGGGAACACTTATACAACCCAGGAAAACCATGGCTGAGGGATTAGCTACGCTTGCCAGACAAGTGGGAGCCTTGCCTAAGGCAGTTTTACAGTTCCTTTGTCCGCAGAAACTACGTAATTATTGTTTATTAAAGAGCTGGAGTTGGGAAATGGCACAAACAATTGTTCATGTAACCTGAGACACAAATTTTTGTGGATGCAACAGCTTTATTGGAATGAATAAGTGCAGAGAAACTTTTTATTTGGATGCAACAACCTGTTGGTTCAGTTACCACCCCTCAGGCGCAGGACAAGGTGCAGGGTGGACTCCTTTTGGATGTTGTAGTCAGACAGGGTACGACCATCTTCCAGCTGCTTCCCAGCAAAGATCAGCCTCTGCTGGTCGGGTGGAATGCCCTCCTTGTCCTGGATCTTGGCCTTGACATTCTCAATGGTGTCACTGGGCTCGACCTCAAGGGTGATGGTCTTGCCAGTCAGGGTCTTCACAAAGATCTGCATCCCTCCCCTCAGGCGCAGGACAAGGTGCAGGGTGGACTCCTTCTGGATGTTGTAGTCGGACAACGTGCGACCATCTTCCAGCTGCTTTCCAGCAAAGATCAGCCTCTGCTGATCTGGGGGAATGCCTTCCTTGTCTTGGATCTTGGCTTTGACATTTTCAATGGTGTCACTGGGCTCGACCTCAAGGGTGATGGTCTTGCCAGTCAGGGTCTTCACAAAGATCTGCATCCCACCTCTCAGACGCAGGACAAGGTGCAGGGTAGATTCTTTCTGGATGTTATAGTCGGACAGGGTACGACCATCTTCCAGCTGCTTCCCAGCAAAGATCAGCCTCTGTTGGTCGGGTGGAATGCCTTCCTTGTCTTGGATCTTGGCCTTGACATTCTCAATGGTGTCACTGGGCTCAACTTCCAGGGTGATGGTCTTGCCAGTCAGGGTCTTGACAAATATCTGCATCCCACCTCTGAGGCGCAGCACTAAGTGCAGAGTGGACTCCTTCTGGATGTTGTAGTCGGACAGGGTACGACCATCTTCCAGCTGCTTCCCAGCGAAGATCAGCCTCTGCTGATCTGGGGGAATGCCTTCCTTGTCCTGGATCTTTGCCTTGACATTCTCAATGGTGTCACTGGGCTCGACCTCAAGGGTGATGGTCTTGCCAGTCAGGGTCTTGACGAAGATCTGCATTTTTCCCTGGAAGAGACAAACCCGCTGTGCTTTAGTAACGCTTCCGCTCGCCGGGGCCGCGCTCCCCGGCGGTGACGTCACAGCGACGGCCCCACCCTTTCCGGGATGTGGGCGTGGTCTCCGCCCCTTCCCTTTCCCGCCCGCGGCGCGCGCCCGCCACCATCTTGAGGGGCGGCTGCGCCTGCGCCGCCGCCATTTCGCTGGTGCCCGTTCGCCCTCGCCCCTCCCGCCCTTCCCTTCTCCGCCCCCGGCTCGCGGAGCTGCCGTTAAGGGGAGGGCAACGCCCCGGCCCTCACAGCCCGCCATTGACCCCAGCCATCGCCCTTTCTTTCTCAGCGCGCACATACACTCTGTGTGTCCCACCCGGACACCTAGCATGCATCTAAGCCCTGTTGCCGCCACGCCAAGCGGTTCCCCCCGCCGAGCACTCACCGCGGGGCTGGCAGGCCAAGCCGACAGAACAACTCCCTCCCAGACTCACCCGACTCCAACTGCGCCACACATCCCCCTCCCGCCCCTTATATGGTCTCGCGCGCCCCGCCCCCACGTCCGGATCACTCCGCCGCGCACTATTTTCTCGGCCCCGCGCGCCGCCGCTCTCCTGCGTGCGCTGGGGCGGGATGGGGCAGCGCGGAGAGATCTGTGCCCCGCGCGTGGGTGCGCTGCGTCCAGCGCGCGCGGGGAGGCGGGCGGGGCGCGAGCAGCGCCGGGAAAACCCGGCGTGGAGTCGCCGCCGGAACGGGACTGCGGCCATGGCGCCTCAGCAAGCCCACCTCGGAGACATGCCCGTGTTTAAAGATTTATTCCAGAGCCTCACGTTTTATTCAGGGCTTTAGACATGAGGACACAACCCCGCTGGGACGGGCAGGTCGTGCCAGACCCTCAGTGCCACCATGGCCGTGGGAGAGGGGACAGGGAGGAGATGGTGCTGGGACACCTGCCGAGGCTGGACCACCTCAGGAAAAGGGGGCTACAGGAGGCTCCTGCCTGGGGTGGAGAGGTGACATGAGGGACAAAAAAGGATGGATACAGAGTTCCAAGTCCTGCAGATGGTCTGCCTGAGATACAATGAGTGTCTATATACACACACATAAAGTAGACTGTGCATCTGAGCTATCGTGGAGTTCATAATTCAGGACTAAGGCCTTGCCTTTACCCTAGCCTGGGGTAAAATCAATCATAAACAAATCAGAATAATGCCTATTTCTTATTCTGTTCTTGCAGAGCACATTCTGGCAGATCTCTGCTGCACTCAGTTGGCTCCTGTGCCATCCCAGTCAAACTGCACAGCAATTCCAGGCCACGGCTGAGAACAAAACGGGGCTTTGTCTGCAAGATTCAGGAGACGCCATTCGGTCCAATCCGCCTACAAAATCCTTCGTTTGCCAGCACCCAAGGAAAATGGAAGGGACACAGATAACACCCAGGACTGCTCACCAGCAGGAACAGAGCAGAGGCCCAGCAACAGCTTTGTGATTGGTTTGAGGGAAACCGCCTGTGTCTGGCTGACACATGGAGCTGTTACAGGAGGGGAACGCTCTGGGGAGCTCCTCGGCCTCTGCTGCCTCGTGTTTGTACCGACACTCACCACAGCAGCAGTGATAATAATCTCAAACGCTGGGGTCATTTAGACGGGGAAAAAAAATCCACAGAAGTCTTTTGGTTTCTTCTCAGTGCTCAGTGGCTGACACTGTGTGCATTGGGAGTTGAATAAACATCAAAGACTGGAAAAGCCTTCCAGGTTTAGGTCTTTCCTCAGCTGAATATTAATGTTAAGCTTGTTCTTTTAGTTACAGAGGGAGCACTCAGGACTGGTCTGAAAATAGTCAAAAATGCACATGGAAAGGTATTTCCTGACAAGATGGAGTTTTGTAACAGGAAGAAATAAGATGACACAGTGCTGTTCTTCACCTAATTAGGGTAATCAGCCAAGCACTGAGCATCCTGAGTGAGTTTATACCTGATGTCTGAATCAAACACAGGAGGAGCACACATTTAAAGGTTGAGATTGGCAAGGCAGATGTTCGGCCCTCATCCAATAGTCCTTAAACACATCTGTGTGGTTTGCAGGAGGACAGTGTTTCCTGAGCTGGGAGAGGATTTCTGTGAACAAAGCCCTCCTTGTTTATCCTACCCTGCCTCTCTGAGTACCCACCGTTAGGATTTCAGTGCAGGCTTGATGAATATGTTGATCTTAACAGACCATGACCTGCTTTACTGACAAATACCAACTTCCTGTGCCAAAAAGTTACTTTGTGCCTGTTAGAATAAACTATTTCTTATATTTACATGCAGGGCATATTCCAGAAGTACAGCTGCCCAGGGAGATCCAGGGAGTGATTTACAACAGGGATATTCACACTTAGCAGTGCTGTAGCCAAATACTGGCTCAAAATAACAACTGGAAGTAAGATGAGTAAATAAATAGCACAAGGAGCTTTTCAGCCACTGTGGCAGGAAATGTCACTTTGCATTTGTCACCGATCATCTCCCACTGCTGTTGGATTCACTGTTGGTAACTGAACAGTGAGATGAAACAGCTGCCACTGAACTGTGTAGATAAAAGCTGTTTCGGGCTCTACGTGGGCTTTGGTCTCTCTGGGCCAAAACTCTCAACTGTGCCATAACTCAGCCCTCTCGGCTCCAAAGGGTTTCCTGATGAGCCCAGCCAGCCTGAGGAGATCAAAGCAGAGAGGTTGTTTCCCCAAGAGCTCTTTCCAAGCTGCTCTGGGCGAAGCTGCCCACGCTGCCGAGGGGCTGAGCAGGACAGTGGAGGGGAGTGGGCACTGCAGAGCCAGGTCGGAGAAGGGGAGAAGCTCCTGCATTGTCGCAGCCAGTGACTGCAGTCACCTGGGGTGTCCTGGTGTTTGTCCCTCCCCCTTGGCTCTGGGAATGTGAAGCAGAGACCGTGAGCTCTGTGTCGCTGCAGGTCTGCACGTCCCCAGCTCTGCCAGGCTATGGGATGAGGAGGTGTCAGGTGGGGCTGGCCAGTGTCCCCTGCGTTTTGGGGTTTGGAGCTTTGTCCCTCTTTTTGGGCTGCTGTAGGGCCTTGGCGTGGCGATGGAACTCCAGCAGAACACAAGAGCCGTGTGTGTTTGCCTGAGGAGAAACAAGTAACAAAAAAAAAAGCTATCCTGTGCCACCAAGGACCCGTTTGAGGAGCAGGGTCATGGCGCGGTTTGCTGCTTGTTTAACGAGAAATGGCGACTTTAACTGGATAAAAGACATTACGGGGGGGAAGGGGGAAAAAGCCAAAACCAAAAGAGCAGTAACCCCATGGAGATGCCGGGGATTGAACCCGGGACCTCATACATGCAAAGCATGCGCTCTACCGCTGAGCTACATCCCCCTGCCCGCGGTGCTGCTTCTGCCCGCCGCCCAATTCCGTCTTGTCCGCGCTTCCCTGTCCCCGGTGCAGGGAAAAGTGGGCAGAGCGATGCGGGCACCGGGTCCCCGCCGGGCCGGGGGAGGGCTGTGGGCGCTGCAATGTAAGGAGCCCTCTGTGGCCTTCACGCAACCCTTAGAAACATGGGAACGCGCTGGTTCGCACACACAAAACTGATTTTTTTTTTTTTCCGTCCTTCGGAAAATGGAAAAATTCGTGCGGGAAGAAGAAAAATGAATTCTAAGGAAAAAAGTGGTCGCAACCTCCCCGTCGGGGAATCGAACCCCGGTCTCCCGCGTGACAGGCGGGGATACTCACCACTATACTAACGAGGACGGCTTATCAGTGTCCTTCTGCGCGCCCGGTCATGCCCGAGGTGACGACCCGGGACCTGCTCCACTGCTGCCGTCCTCCGGGAAGTGGTTCCCGTCACAAAATCTTCACCCACCTGAGCGCCTGCGGTGACTCCGGGAGAGCCGCCCCTCGCCCGACGCAGGGACCGCAGCCCCGGCCCCGCTCCGCCCGGCGGCAAAAGCAGGGGCCGTCACCCGCACGGGGAACGAAAAAGCTTCTGCCGAAACCCGGGATCGAACCAGGGACCTTTAGATCTTCAGTCTAACGCTCTCCCAACTGAGCTATTTCGGCGGGCGACAGCGCCCTCGCTGGCCGCGGATACGACCCCGCCCAGTTTCCCCCCCCGGTGCCGCTGCCCGGCCGAGCCGGTCCTCCCGCGCGGGTCCCACCCCCGCGGCACCAGCGACCCGTTCCTGGCGTGCCCGGGGGTCGCACACCCCCGGGTACTGATGTCCACTCCGCGGTCCTCAGGCACCCCTCCTGGCACGCCCAGCCCTGGCACAAAACGCAGCACTCCCGTTTCCACCCCACCCCTCTCGCAGGGGGTGACGGGGCCCGGGGTTCCACTCCACGTCAGAACCCTGCGCGGGGCCGCCCGCAAAAAACGGCGGCCGGGGACAAAACACAGTAGGACCTCCCCGTCGGGGAATCGAACCCCGGTCTCCCGCGTGACAGGCGGGGATACTCACCACTATACTAACGAGGACGGACGCACAACAGCGTTTTTTCGCCTTGCACTATAACAGTGCAGTCCCGCCCCGGGCGGAGCCGCCGCCGCTCCCGCGGGTGCTGCGGCTCCCGGGGCCCCGCGCGGGGCTGTGCGGAGCCAGGGGGGCGGGACGAACGCGGGAGGAGCGCGGGGCGGGCGCGGTGTGGCCGCCGGGCCCGGCGTGCGGGCGGCAGTGTCTGTTTATCGGCTGTACAGGCAAGTTCCCTATCCAGGGGATGTAGCTCAGTGGTAGAGCGCATGCTTTGCATGTATGAGGCCCCGGGTTCAATCCCCGGCATCTCCACTTTTTGCCCCCGCCTCGTGAAGCCTGTGGGTTTTTTGCTTTCTCTTGCCCCATTTTCTAAATTAGGAGCCACGATTTCCAAATAAGTTCCATAATGGCGTTTCTTTTTTTCCTTTCCTCCCACAAACAGGGCAGTTTGCAGACTTCTGCTGCAATTCTTGTTAGAGAAAGGCAAGACCCCCCAGCACCCTCCTGCCTGGGGTTATCACAAAACACTGCAGAGCTGCACTGTTTGACTTACAAACACAGTGTAAGGGGCTGGATTCCTTCTTGCTCGAGAACAAAAGTTGCTGTTTCATCAGCTTTAGATATTTTTAATGCTTACTTGTGTCCTGGCCTCACCTCTGAAGTGTGTGGGAGCAGTGGGTGAGTGGGAGCAGTGGGAACAATGGACATGCATCCAACCTCTTCTCCAGTTGGACCAAAATTTCTTGTTGTGAAATGAGCAAGTGGTCGAAGTCTGCCCTGCTTCCCAAAACTGGCTGCATTCCCCAAAGTGCTCCAGCCTGTGAAAAGCAGGTGGCTCTCGAGCACCAAGACAAAACAGCCCTGACCAATCATGTGGCAAAAGCCCCAGGAGATCTGAGTGCCTGCAGCACTATGCCAGGAGTGAGGAGAGATTTGAACAAAAATTTTTGGAAGCAAGATTAGTGGGTATCCTGGAGAAATGGCAAACTCCTCAAGATGCAGGAAAAGAACGATTAGGACTGCACTGGTTTGGCTGGGCTAGAGTGGATTTCTCCATAGCAGCCCCCTTGCTGCAGTTCTGGATGGGTGACTGACAGTGCTGACACACACCAGTGTTTGTGTCTGGGTCAGGGTCAACCCACCACCAGGCCCAAGGGTTCTGTCTGTGTTTGGATCTGCTGACACATGTGAGGAAGTGCCTACACAGCTCCGAAATTCTGCTCACTGCAGCATCCCACAAAGAAATAATTTCTCCCATTCAAACCAAGAATTTTACATATTTATTACAGTTCATATGACTAATATAGTCCAAAGAGAAACTTCTGATTAAAAAAAAAAAAATCCATAAAATACAATGGATAAAATTATCCAAACATTAATATTACAAAGTACCAGCCAAACAGCTGGTAGGACTTCTGGGAACAGGGAGGACTTCCCAGAAGAAGAGACTAACACCTGGCTCTCTTACAAAAAGGTATCGCTACAGTTGGTGAGTCCATCTGTGTCAGATTTCCAGGGAAACCCTTGGAAGCTCTCGAAACACCTTGGAGACAAGAAGTCCATCAAGAACAGTCATACTGGTGGCCAGTTCTGGGCGAGGTCATCGTGCATGGCTTCAGGGATCCACTGACGGTAGGCTGAGAGCAAATCTGGAATGGGAGCAGAGTGGTCAGACAGCCCTGGGAGTCAGGGACTGGGGTGGTTTGGCTGGAAAAACAAGGTCCTGTGGGATCACCCCACAGGAGCAAGAACCAGCCTTTCACCACTGGGATGGTGCTGGAGCTTGGACACTTGCATGCAGATGTAACAGCATCCAGTGGGGGAGAATGATTGTGAAAGTCATCACTGCATCACTTTGCTGCTGCTTCTATAAAGACCTCTTATAATCTGGTACAAATACTGAACAAAAGCCATTTTACCTGGAAAAAAATTTTCTTTGCAAGAACCAAACACGGGGCATTACTGTTTCTCGTAAGAAAATATCTGGAGCTTATCAAGTGACATTGTCCACTTTTTAAATTATAATTCAACAGTGCTCGAGGTACTCCACTGATATGACTGATAATTAAGCAAGCAGAACACTTACATTTAGGATTTTTCTTCCATGCAGCCAGTAAAGCATTACGATTATCACAATTTTCTGCAACCAGAGCCTGCAGGAGGGATTCTGTCCTGGGCTGAAGTCTGAATCAGTAAAATGGTGCAATAAAACAATGTTCATTAGCACAGTTTAAGTTGGCTTTCTAAATTCACACTCCATATTTTTAAAAGGCTAAATATAGATGTATAAACACACAACCTCTACATAGAGACGTGCCACTGGCTCAAGAAAGTTCACTCTAAGTAGATTTTTCTCCAACCACAACTTTTTGTGGTTAGAAGCTGCAGCAGGTTGCTCTTATGTCTGCTGTGCAGCTGCAGAGCACAAGGTAAAGCAAAAAGGTCCCATGCTGAGCTCTGGATTGACTAAAACAGGGAAACACGTGGTCACTGTAGGACCCTCGGATAACACCAGTCCCTTTTAACGAAGTCTTCCAAAATCCTTCCATCCATCAACTCCCTGAGAATTCATAGAAGACTCAGAGAAAGTTTATTTTGGCAAGTCAGAGGAGGATGAGGGGAGAGAAAGGGAGTGACAGCTGACAGCCTTTTGGAGGGTCAGAGGTCTCTAAATGTAATCAAACCCATGGTCTGTTGGAAACATGTTTTTGAAAAGAAAGGCAGAATAATTGGCCAAACTGCAAAGAAAAGCAAGGAAAGCAGCAGTGCACATCTGGCCATTCCTTGGAGGTGTGAGCAGTACCTGTGAGCAGCAGAGCAGAGCTCAGTGCCCAGGCTGTGTGTCCTCCCACACTGCCCTCACAGTCACCCAGCTCTCCTGAGACACAATTTTTCTTGGTAGGAAAACTAATTTTCTTCGCCCTGCAGTTACAGCCAAGATCACTATCTGCAACACCCTTCCCAGCATTCAATTTTTTTAATTTAAAAAAGAAGTGGAAAGTGTTTGATGGAAACAACAACCTGAAGTTTGTTTTTAACAACTTACTTGGACCATGTCTTCAGCATTATGAGGGGACTGGACAGCAGGCACTGGCTGTAAGAACCCAACTTTTTAATGACCTGAAAGATTTTTAAAAACAAGGTAAATTAATTGTTCTGTGGAGACAACCATCCATCACCTAGCACTACTATAAATTCCATCTCATATTCTCTTTTACCATCTCTTTCCTATCCATGTCTCCACACCAGTCTTGTCCTGACTGGCTTGTTAGACAAATCTTGTGCCTCAGAATGGACAAAGACATGAGCTAAAACTTCTTTTCCTTTGCAAAAATGATACTTCAGTTTGGGGGGTTCTTTCATTCAAATACTGATTTTCATGCTTTTTTTTTTTATTTTAGAGGTATTTTCCCCAACACACCAACCACAGCAAACTCCTCCATCCACCAGCAAGTTATAAGCAATGACACACACACACAGAAATTCTCCTCCAGAAGTGGGGCTAAAAACTTATTGATAACATCAAGGAAGTGATGCACCTGGAACACACTCACCTTTCCTTCAAGCAGGAACCTGGCAAAGTATTTGTAGCGATCAATACCTTCTGGATAATCAACTTCCACGGCAGGGAGCTGCCAGCTAACACGATCTGGAAACAAAGATCACACCATGCTTGAAGACAAGGGCACGTTTCCATGGAGGTGCTAAGAGAAGAGGGAAGGACGCTGCCACCACCCAGCCTTCACAGGGGGAGCAGCAGGTTCCATAAAATGCCCATTTCAATGGGAAGATGCCAACATTTAAATGCTATGAACCCCATGGAGCTGTTCAAACCACACTGTTAAGCTCTCTGAACAGCCCAAGCTGAGCTTGGCCTTTCTGGTGTGCTGACAGCCCTGTTAAACCAGCATTACAGTGACAACAGGGCAGCTCTCGGACAAAACTACTGAGAGACACTCTAAGACACTTACAAAAGACACTCGGTCTGTGACACCGAACTCGGCCTCTCTGGGGGCAGTACGAGGGAGGAGGGTTTTCCAGAGGCTTCCCAAAGTGGCAGTATGGTGGCAACAAGGCAGGAATCCACTCAGGTTCAACTGCAGACACACCTTAGGAGGGAAAACACACACTGAATGCAGGTTTGCTGCCAAGGGCCACCACTCACCAGCGGCCCCACAAGTACACGATCTCATGTCATGATCTCACCTCCAAGGATTCACTTTGTCTCATTTTTCAAGTCAACTTTTTTATGTTGTAAAAAAGCTGTTCAGAGACCAGCAGAGACCAGCCCTGTCAGCTGGTGCACAGCAGCTATTTCAGAAGCTGAGCTTTGCTCCAGCCAATTCTACTATACAAAGAAAAAAACCAGGCCAATTTATCCCCTGATCCAGATCTAGAAAGCATAAGGATCCAAATCCTAGGAGTCACAACCACTCTATAAGGAGAGCATTTAGTCACTACAGCAGGGAAACACTCTGCCAAGGAATTTTTGAGTTCCTCACCAGACCTTCAGCACAAGCTGGCCCACAGCGGTCTCACCTTTCATGTACAGCTTTGTAGTCTCGACAATTTCTTG